TCGCGATTAAAATATTTTAATCGCGATTAAAATATTTTAATCGTTGCCCAGCACTAGTTTTTTTTAATTTACTTTTATATCCCCACTCTTAAAGAAAATGCGCCACATGAATAACTTCCTCCCGAGCAGGAAGCTCAGAAGAGTTTAGATATTTCAAAATAAGAGCACTAGCCAGAAACACCTGAAAGGTTTAACTGTCTCTCTTCAATCAAAGATTGTTTTGAGAGAGAGTGAGTTTATTCAGACTGATTGTTCTGATTATGTAGAATGAAATGCTCGAACACGGTTTCTCTCTTTTCCAGAACAACGTCTCCGTCAGTCGGTACCGTTTTCTTCTTCTCTTTCTCTTGCGAGTGCAGATGTTTAATCCGGTTCATTAACTTTAAACTGTTTTATTATTGTCTAGTGAAGACCATCGGCCTTTTTTTGTAGCTGCAGTTTCTTCTTGTATCCTGTTTGTTTTTCTGTCTCAATCTTAGTTTCCAGCCCGACCCGTCATCGCCCCTCCGGGCTGTAACAGAGGAAACAATCGCTCTCTTAAACAACATTAGCGTCTACTTAAAACCTGACTCAGCAGATTCAGCTCAGATTTACTGCCTCCGGCTACTGGTTTACTGCTCGCTGCTTTCCTCTCGTGTGCAGTTCAGTTTGTACCTTTTGATTTACAGCCGGTCGCCTCCGTCTCTCTGTTAACGTCTTCTCTTTGCTGTTTGCTCAGCATCCTCCTCATCACTGGCTTCTGTGTTCACCATTGGTGACGCTTTGTAAGCCACCACATCTTTGGGACTCTTAGTTTCTATTTTCCTCTTTTCTTGTGTTTCAGCAAGTCTGCACCTTCAAATAAATCCAAAGTTTTCTTGTTTTTATGAAACCAATATTATTCTTGCCAGAGCTCCTAGAGACTGTATATTACTGAAGTCCCTCTCCTTAGTCCCTCTCCTTAGTCCCTCTCCTTAGTCCCTCTCCTTAGTCCCTCTCCTTAGTCCCTCTCCTTAGTCCCTCTCCTTAGTCCCTCTCTTTAGTCCCTCTCTTTAGTCCCCCTCTTTAGTCCCTCTCCCTAGTCCCTCATTAGTCCCTCATTAGTCCCTCTCCCTAGTCCCTCTCCCTAGTCCCTCTCTTTAGTCCCCCTCTTTTGTTCCCCTCTTTAGTCCCTCTCCCTAGTCCCTCTCCCTAGTCCCCCTCTTTAGTCCCCCTCTTTAGTCCCCCTCTTTAGTCCCCCTCTTTAGTCCCCCTCTTTAGTCCCTCTCCCTAGTCCCTCTCAAGCAGCTGAGGTGGAGAAGAAAGTGAAGAAAGCCTTTTTGAATGTGTGTTTATTTAGTTTCGATGCTACGACCCAGTAAAGAAGCCGTCGCGCCAGATTACCTCAACGCCAGATATTTCATATATAGATCAGAATAAACTCGGATGCTTATTTTCAAACATTTTAATTAGCCGAGCGCCTCGGCACAAAGACATTAATGAGAAAGAGGCCGTCGTGTGACATGAGCTCCTTCCTTCCGCCCTCAGCGTTAGATTAATTATGCACAAGTATTCCATCACAGACGCTGCATACGGCATCTCCCTGCAGCGTTAATAATTATAACCATCGAGAGGAACATGGGTTAACATTCTACTGAGATCTATAAATCCAATCGTAGAGATTCATAGTTAAGTTCACGACTTTCTCTGGAACACCCTCTTTAAGCGTCTGCATCACGTCATCGCTTTGTAATAATGTACCATGATTTGTCTTAATATTCTGATGACATCATGATTGTTTAATATATTTCCATGTAGTGAACGCTGCTGGTAGGAGCTGCAGGATGTTACTCTGGAGCTCGTGTTCTTGTGTGAACATCTGTTTGTTTTTCTTCATTAACATATAAAATACCTCAGTATTCATATACTTATACATTAATTAACTTTAACGAGAACTAACATGCAGTTTGAAGATGTAAACACAGAAGAAGAAATAGTAGTTTGACAATAAATCATCCTAATTGAGAGTAATGTCATGAATAAATGTAACATGTGACACAGTTGTTTACTCAGCAATAGTTACACAAATATAAATACATCAATCTACAATATATATTGTATTTTCTCTGCTTTTCACTCCAAATATAAGATGACTAAATATGCTCTGACTAATTATTAGTCTTATTGTATTGCTTCCCCCGCAGTGCTTATGATAAAGACGACAACACACACACACACAAAGCAACACGTACTTATATTACACACCCAGTGATCACACAACTCTGCAGCCTCCAGCAACAGAACATCCGGCTGTTATTGAGTTGCTGTGTGTCGTACGTTGGGAGCTCTCCTCCGTGAGGACGATGTGGATGAATCAGGTACCTAATGGATCCTGTTGTTGTAAACACTGCAGCGCTGTGAGATATACAGTCACCTCGTAGAGTAGAATAGAGTAGAATAGAGTAGAATGGCACCGAGGAAGACAAACTAGCAGGATGTAAGGAGGACTTTTGTTCTGGGAGAAGTCCTTTAGCGTTAGCACATCTGACAGAGGCGCTCCGTTGTCTTTAGAGTAGCCTCACATCAGCTAAAGGAAGCACAGAGTTCAGACTTTCCTCCTCTCGAGGTGAAGTAAATGAAACACACGAGATGATGGCTGGCTGGTAGATGATGATCTGTGTGATGAGGGGAGTCTGTGGAGTTTACACTCTTCTTCACGCTGATGTGAATGTTTCACAGCTTCTCTTCCTCTCTCCTCTGGAGTTCTTTGGATGGTTTCCTGCTTTTCTTCTGCTGTGGAGGAAACGTGGAGCGTTTCAATCAAACTGAAGTGAAGCTTGTGTGCGTCTCAGCACTCGTTATTTTCTCGGTAAACGTCTCCTCACAAGACGTAACGTCTGTTCGCTGAAACATCTGCTTTATTTTCCTGCAGCCTCATCAGATAAATGCTTTTACAACATTACAGTTTCAGTGATTTAAGGTGGAATTACCAGTTTATTTCTCTCTCAATTAAACTAATTTAGCCAAATAACAGCCAAATATCCTCTTCGTCTGTCTTCATCAACTCATACCTTGTGAGGCACACTATTAATGTACAAGTTTTACATTTTCTTCATTGAAGTGCAGTATTTCATAAGTAACCAGCCAGAACAACATTAAAGCTGCATTACTACATTTGGCCACCAGGGGGCAGAAGAAGTCAGAACAAGCGCACGAGAAATAATGATTTATATGAAATACAAACGGGTTCATTGCCAGGAGGGTTTCCACATATTGAGTTATTGTTTATGAACATAACAATAAACATAGTAAGAGATAATAAAAGATAGAAAATACTGTAACAGTCAAGAAAGACTAAATCAATATAAATAGAGAAGGATATATTAACAAATTAAGAGGGAAGGGAATAAAAGAATAAGTATGTAAAGATAAGAGTGAAGGAGGGAAAGAAGCAAAGACAGAAGGGCATAAGTGAGGAAACATGTAGGGAAAGGATAGAAGGGAAGAGGTGAGAAAGGAAGAAGGATAAATATTGAAGAGTTTGGTAGGAGGTGAAGAAATGAAGGATGAAAGTCTGATGTTTTAATTGGATGTAGCTGCTGCGTCAGAAGGAAAGAAGCTCATATTTAGTGACTGAAGGCTGAAGCATCGGTCAGTAACTCTCTTCTTCCTCTTCTTCTTCTTCAGCACATGAAGTCGGGGCCCCTGAAGGACCCGCTGCTGGACGACCACGTCGACTTCAACAGGATGTCTGTGGCGATGAAGAAGATCGGCCTGGACGACACGGAGAAGCTGGACCTGTTCAGGGTGGTGGCCGGAGTGCTGCACCTCGGAAACATCGACTTTGAGGAGGCTGGAAGCACTTCAGGTGAGCGGGAAACACCTGGAATCACACACTGTGTCCACGCATGTGAACCTCAGATCAATGACACGGTCTACCGTTAACCATCACAGTGTAAATAAAGTGTTACTGACTCAGTAGAATATGTGTTTCTGTGTTTAAACTCGCTACATCTTTCCGCCAAGTCACATGAAACATCTCAGCGGTGGTTTTTCCCGTAATCCTGCTGACAAACCGAAGCTCTTTGGTGGAAATGGAGTCGCTGGTCCCACCTGATCAGAGTGACTGTAAACCTCCTGCTGTCTGTGTGAGACCAGAGACCAGCGCTGCGACGAGGAAGCTCATCGTCAGTGATGCAGCCTGCAGGGCTCTGTGGTTGCTGCCGTATCAGAAACCATCCGTCTCTCGGGCGTCTCCGCTCCAGATCAGACTCCTTAACGGCAGACGCCATTTTTGATCTCATCCCTCAAGACTTCTGCACTTTTGATTGATGGCTGTAATATCCCCCCCCCCCCCCCCACACACACACACACACATCTCCTCTCAGAGTTCAGCCTCACGACGAATTGCTCTCGAAATTGTGGCGTCTGTTTCCCTCGTCGACCTTTTGGATTTGTTTTTAATTAAAACCCAAAGGAATCATTACAGGCAACTTATGGCTTGGATTTATATTCATTAATTACATAATTAGAAACACAAATTATTCAAGTGTCCTATTATCTGCATGTCAAGTGGCTCCTCCCTCATCTCACGCCTCATTTTGCTAAGCGGGTTTTCACCGAGTGAACCCCTCCAGGGAGGCTCGGCTTCCATGGAGATTTACAGAGGCTTTGAACTTCAGCCGTGGAGTTCCTGAGCTCTCGGCTCCTCCGCCCTCGTTTCTTTGCTCCGCGCGGGGGTGGAAGAGGGGGCCCGGCGGGGCGCCTATTTAACGGACTGGTTGTCGCAGCGGGAGCCGATGCTGAGGCGTGTTTTACAGTAAAGCGAGCGGAGCGCCTTCAGCCAGAGGAGGCAATCATCCGGAGTCTGAGGTCTCTGGAGGCTCTGATTTCAGGGAGCTCTTCAGGAACATTTATTTGTATTTCTGGGCCACAAGAGAAACGAACGCCTCCAGGAGTGAAATAAGTTCAGAGCTCAATCAGAGATACGCCTGTTAAACTCCAACGTGGAGTCTTTTTATACAGAGACTTTAAAATACAGAAGCTCCACGTGTTATAAATATTCAACTATTCACACGTTTCAGCCTCTCCTCCTCTCCTC